CAAGATAATATTTAGTTTCATGATAATATTTAGTTTTTCAAGATAATATTTAGTGAAGTGAAACGAATATTTTCTGAGTAAGGAGATACAATTAGTTTACTAGAATATACGTCTAATGTAAAGAGTTCCTTCAGATTCTACAAAAAAGAGAAAGCTTAAATAGTGAGATTTCTCTTAAATATCAAAATGATTAAGACATAACTATTAAGTTTATTTCTTCGAAAGTTATTGGTTATGGTATATACAGATATTTTCCTTGAAAAGGTTAAAACACCGTTTAAACTTCTCATTACATAGCACTTAATTTTATAAGGTATTTCTCTCGCCTTCTTAGCATGCCTTCGTCGTGTAGTGGTCAGCACACTCGGCGCGTATTCGAGAGATCCGTGGTTCGAGTTCCGGCGAGGGCATTGCTCATTTTTCATCTCTCCTGCTTCAAAACTACCTAATGTCTCTACAGTGATGCCCGAACAAATAAAGGTGGTGAATGATGATTTTTCACCACCAGGATTTGGCGATTGGGTCTCTTTTAATCCCCAGTCGCTCTTTAAAAGGGTAAATATATAAGTTATTTCTCCCGTCTTCTTAGCATGCCTTCATGGTGCAGTGGTCAGCAAACTCGACACGTATTCGAGAGGTCCGTAGTTCGAGCGAGGGCATTGCTCATTTTTCATCTCTTCTGCTTTAAAAGTACCTAATGTCTCTACAATTGTATACGGCATATCAAATATTATGATTTCGGTTTTGTCTCTATAAGCGATAAGATGACAAAAATAGCGGTTTAAAAGATATTTCTGTATGAATTATTTAAAGTGAAGACATATTTTCATCATCGTAATTTAGCATGGTTTTTATACATTTTTAGAGAACGCAATACATATGCTTTTGATACATAAAGAAAAAATGTTAGAGTAACAGAACCAGTAGGGTAATATTCTGTAATTAATATCTTCTATCAAATACGTAAAACATATCTACTTATTAGAATATTGTTCCTCGAATAGTTTTCTGAGGAATCCTGCTTTTGAATAGACGTGATAAGCTGTTCTTAATTTTAACGAATCTAAATCAGCGTTCTACTCTTTATCCCTTTTGATATAAGAACCAGTGCCTTCAAAATATATGAAGTGTGTCAAAGCATCGAAACACTAGAAATACCACTAACATTATTAGCGAAACAGAGTTATTAGTCTCAAAACACGATTTTACATTTTTTTCGCTTAAATTTGTTTTTTAACTTTTCATTTGAGACTGCTGCCATTCGGGAAAATGTGAGATATTTATCTGTCAAACTTAATTTGTCCGTGACTGATTAACAAAGTAAGCTATTTAAAAGTAATAGATGCCCATGCAGCCAGACCAGGATTCGAACCGAACCACCAGTGTTCAGCGAATTTATGGCTCTGCCGTTGGTCTGCGTCTTTGTTTTCTGGACCGACATTTCATGTTGATATTAGATTCATTCATTTTCGGAAATTGGGGGATTTTTCTTTTCAGTTAATTGTCTTTTTCTTTAATTTTTGATTACTTTTCCGTGTTTGATATTTTCTCATGTGTAATTCTTTGGTAATTTTCTAAACATTTTGCTGTATCCTTTGAGCTTTTTTTGTCTGTATTGTATTGCGTCGTTTAGTTTCGTTTGTTTTATTATCATTAACGAAGTTTTATATTTGAACAGCTTTTCTTATTGCCCTGCTATTTTACACTTTAATTATATGCCACTTTTTTGTGTTTTTTCTCTTTCGGTTTAAACTGCCGAGAGATAAGAACCGGTTTTGTAAGTTACGCCATTAGATTATAGAATTTTTTAATCGTCTTCATTTTTTTGTTTAAATGTAAATCTCAGGATATCATTTTGAAGTTTATGCAAATCCAAAATCATAAATTTTCTGCTCACGTTTCGAAAATTATGCGCACAGAATTTTTTTGCTCCTCACAAAAATGGATCTGTGCCTGATCGTCGTCGAAACCGTTATAGGCTTGATTGAAACCTATCAAAATTAAGGTTCCTGTTTCGCTTAATTTTCTAAGTTTTACCCCCATTGGCATGTTTTTCATCTCTCTTAATAATCCTTCCCTTCACGAAGCAGTAAAAAAGTTTTTGTGCTTTCCACTCCCCAGAATTGTCCTCCTGAGATTATTATATCTTATAATAAAATTATGCGCGCAGAATTTTTTTTGCTCCTCACGAAAAGGGACTTGTGCCTGATCGCCGTCGAAACCGATATAGGCTTGATTGAAACCTATCAAAAATAAGGTTGCTGTTTTGCTTAATTTTGTAAGTTTTACCCCATTTGCATGTTTTTCGTCTCTCTTAATGATCCTTCCCTTCACGAAGCAGTAGAAAAGTGTTTGTGCTTTCTACTCCCCAAAATTGTCCTCCTGACAATATTATATCTTCTTAAAATTGAAGTTACATTAAAAGAGCTCCTCTTTGACGACGCTGAAAGCATCCAAACGAATGACACATTGAGTTTTTTTGGTCAATAAGGCAGGAAGACACGTCGTTCTGATATCGGTTAGGTCGAGCCACTCGCGTATCGATACAAAAAAGTAAGTAACATAAAAATAATACTTTGATTAGAAAACGATGATTTCTCTCTTTTTATTTATGAATTCAATCTTATTTTCTAATCGCCAGACTGCGTAATATTTTAAATAATAATTTTCCTCTTGCAGAGCATTTGCATCAGTAATTTATAACACATTAAGATTTAGCTAATACACACATATTATACTGGCAATCAAGCAAAGGAAAGTTTTAAAATATTTATTTTCAACGTTAAAATTAGCATTGTAATAATATAAACTTAGACTCTTTAAAAATTTAATTTCTTAAACTCAAAAATTAACAGAATTTATTAAAAAAATGTTGTTAATTATTTAAAGAACTTAAGATGACATTATATTTTGCCAACACAATATTAATATGTATTAGCTGTAGACTTGTGCTCATACTGCGCAAATTTTCTCAAAAATACTATTAAAAACACTTTATTCTCACTCCGGACAGCGTTATTATTTTACTTTTCACCGCCCTGCATCGGCACTCAATTTATTTGTTTCCCCATTTCCACATGAATACGGTCCATTGTTGTGTAACAAACTACCGAATAATTTAATTAATTAGCTTTGTAAGGTTATTATTTAAATTAACCAGTTATTATGATTTTGGTCTTTACAATAATTTCTCCTTTCCGTATTCCCCACCAAAATTCAAATGGTTAGGCCTGTATTTAAACAGAGGCTTGTATTTAAACAGAGGCTTGGGATTTTAAGACAGTGCGTTTCTGATTTCACATGCACGCTGCGTGTTAGTTTCCTGCCTGCTCTGTTAATGGTAAATATTCGGCTTTGCGTAGTATGATGCTCCGGTATAGTAGTGAGCCGCTTCTTCTGCTCTGTTCAGTTGCGTCATCACGAATTTTGGCTTTTGTTGTAACACAAGAGAGTACGTTTATGTTCTAAACTGTATTTAAATAAAAAGCTTATTTAACCTTTTTCATGGCTTAGTCATTGTTTCAGACAGAGCGATAATTCGTTTCGCTTCTGTTAGAGTTTTGAGACTGTAGGGTTTTCCTTATTTTGAATAACAAATTTATTTAAATTTTTCCTGTTCTAGACTTCTCAACTTCCCCTCACATTCTCTCGCCAGGATGTAAATTTAAAGTTTAAGTATTTAAACATGGGAATATCTCAGTTTGTTTAGAGCGTCTTTCGCTAGCTAAGCGCACGTTTCATTGTTATTTCGCGGTCACGCTAGTAAGCCTCTTGGCCTTATCAGTTTAGTATCACGCCGGTTAGATTTCTATGAGTCCACCTCTTAGGCGTAAATTGAAGTGCGTTCTTGCACTATTTATTTTCAGATTTGACTTGTATTATAGTCTACGTTTAGTTACCACCGCAAGTGAACGGTGTTTTTGTAACGCACGAAGTCCGCGCCTTTCTGTAAAAGTCAATAATTTGAATTAATTAAAGGATTATTTTTCACCCTTTCTTCTGTGCTGGTAATTTATTCACGCCTGTGCGAGAATTCGCCAGGTTCATTGTAGGATATAATTTAGTTTATGTGGAATAACAGAGATAGGTCTTACAAGACTACTTCGCTTTAACAGATCAAGTAAAACCCTACAATTTTTTTAATTAGGTTATGTTATATGTATTACGATGTGCCTTTGCATACGCTTGGATGTAAAAGCTAAGAACTATTTTGTTCTTTATGGTCATGAAAGAAAAACTACTGGACCAAATGTTATCAAACTTGGTAATCGTAAAATGGAGGTCAAGGAAATTTATTTTCCGCAAAAAAAAAAAAAAAAAAAAGTTTAAAAACTCACCACCAGGGGGGGATGGCGCTGTGTGTAATATTGTTAAACGAAATACGACATGAAGACATCGCTTTAAAACTTGTTACAAAGCGTGTTCAATGTGGCGTCCACCATTTTCTGAAAGCAAGTTAAATCGTATTACTGCATTCTCAACAGAAGCTCTTAGCATATCAGGATGAATGTTATGGACATGTCGGTGTATCTCATATCTCAATTCCGCCAAATTCTTTAAATTATCACCATAAATAGTGCTTTTGAAATAATTCCATAGTCAAAAGTTTCAGAGGTTGCGGTCTGGTGACCGGCGTGAGCAAGAAATAGGAAGGTGTTGGCCTTCCTATTCATTACTATCCGTTCATTCGTGAAATATGGGGCCCACCAGTGGCCGAGCGGTTAAGTCGTTGAACACTGGTAGTTCGGTCCGAGGTTCGAATCCCGCGAACGGGCTGGCTGCATGGGTGTTTTCGTGGTTTTCCCCATGTGTAACGTGTATACGAGCCAGTTTCCCTTAGAAAGTCCTCCACGAAGGCATCCCTCCTCTTAGGCAGATAGCCCTCGAGGCTTTGCCATAATCACACACACACATTCGTGAAATATTGCCTAAATAACTGTGTGACACATATACCAACGTAAGGTGGGGCCCCGTCCTGCATAAAAATCGTGGTGTCTAAAATGCCACGTTGCTACAGTTTAGGTATCACGAAACGTCTTAACATTGATGCTAAGCGGACTGCAGTCACAGTGCATGTATCAGGTCCAGCTATCGACTGCTCTGCAAAGAAAAATGGTCCAGTTATGAAAGTAGCTGCCATACCGTATAGAGTCTGTCTCTCTTGTTCCACATAAACTAGAATAGACCCTATAATGACCTGGCGAATTCTCGCACAGGCGTGAAGAAAACTACTGACTCAGACGAAGGGTAAAAATAACCTTTTATTAATTAAAACTAGTTAACAGAAAGGCGCGGATTTCGTGCGTTATAAAGACACCGTCAACTTGCAGTGGAATATAAAACGTAGAATATAATACAAGTCAAACCACAAATAAATAGTACAAAATCGCACTTAAGGTTACGCCTAAGAGGTGGACTCGCAGGAATCTAACCGGCGTGATACTAATCTGATAAGGCTAAGAGGCTTACTGGCGTGACCGCGAAATAACAATGAAACGTGCGCTTGGGTAGCGAAAGACGCTCTGAATAAACTGAAATATTCCCATGTTTAAATAAGCACTTCACTTAACTTTAAATTTACATCCTGGCGAGAGAATGTGAGGGGAAGTTGAGAAGTCTAGAACAGGCTATCATACTTAAAATAATTTTGCTATGCAAAATAAGGAAAACTCTACAACCACACCAAGCGGTGACTGCAGGAGAATGCAATGGAACTGGGTAGATAACATGAGCGATTTGTAAGCAAACGATTTCCGGAATGCGCACATTTTTTCAAGTGATTTGCGATCTTAGATTTTCTAATCTCTAATTTTTGGTTTTCACGAATGGATTTCTCCATTAGACGGATGGCGCACTCGACTTTTATCGCATTTTAAATTGTAATTTTTCTTAGGTCAATGTTTCTTAAAGGTGTAAATATGTCAAACCCGTATAACAAAAGGTTAAGTTAGACTCCGACCCTTATTTCGTTTAACAATATTGCATACAGCGCCATTTCCCCCTCTAGTGGTGATTTTTTTTAACTTTTTTTTATCGGAAAATAAATTCCCATGACCTCCTTTACACGATTACCAAGTTTGATAACATTTGGTCGAGTAGTCTTCCTTTTATGACCATTTCAAAATGGAACTCTAATTATAACCACCCTGTATATTAACTAGCGATTTAATCGTATGAACAATAAAAATATTCGAAACAGAACTAGTTAGTATGAGTCTTAGCCTGATAGATTGGATACAACGAAATGAGTGAAAAAAATGCATTTCGGAATTACGGGTGAAATTTTGTGCATGTGTAAAATTTTCCTTTTCACTCTGTTTTATACACATTTTTTTTCTAAAATATGTCAGATATTTCGTTTTAAAAACGTAAAAGAGTCTCAGTTATTTGCTTCATCTTTTTTCTGGCTTTTTAGCTTATTAGCTCTTTTCTTTTGCTGACCCTCGATCGTTGTTCTAAACTTTAGAAAAGTATCAAGACCATTTATTTGAAGCTGGGGAGAGATGTAATCAATGACTATTACTGCGCGGATCACTTTATTCCCTCTAATGATACTTCGATTCTCGATTAAAGACTGGGAGTTAAGTTGCAAGGAACATAATGTCCGTGCTTTAAGTTGCAGAATCTCTATTTTTAAGTTGAAATCCTTTTCAACATTTTGTTCTGCAGAGTGCTGCTTCAGAAAGGTATTCTTAGTCAATTTTAAAGTTTCAGAGAAGTCTGCGTGAAACGAAAGTTCCTTTTTATGAAAAGCTATAGAGGAAAGTAATGACACAAAACGACTAGCCTAGACTTAGTTATCATCGTAAGATATGTTTATCAATATATAGTTATTCATTAAATTTTATATAAGTCTGGAAACTAACTGCATTTTGCCTGCAGATAGCACTTTAATCTATAAAACTTTTATTTCTAATTGCTTCCAAGTAGTATGATTTGAACGCCCTTCACTTGTTTAAAAAATAATTCAGAAGTCAGAGAATAAATTTGCCATTTAGAACTTAAAGAAGCTATGAGTGCAGTCGACCCGCATATAATGTATCCTGTATCATTTTGAGGAAAGTGTTCAGAAAATCATCGCAAAATTCATGTTTTCGAATAATATCTGCATACAATGAATATTTTTTATTGTATTTTTGAGTGTTTTTTTTTTTAATTTTGAACAGCTGTCTCATTGCTGCTTTTTTGTAATTTGTGTAAATGGATTTAAGAAAATTCATTCAAATCTTTAATCTAAAGTAAATTCTTCATTAGCTGTCATCACGTTCAGAAAAACACTTAGGGAGCTCATGACAATCTGACATGGGTTTCTCTCGAGGAAATATATGCCGGAAAAGTCAAAATTTGTGCCTGTTTCCTGAAATTCAAACTGAATTTTTCTAAACGTTACCCCGCTTTGAACTGAAATTTTACAGACCAACTTAATCAAAACAATGCAGTAACAATTTAGTGTGCTTCTTTTACTTATTACACCCATATTCTCCAGATTTACGGAAGTGCACCATTTAGAATGTTTCAACTAATAACCGTTTGACTGCTTCAGATATTTTTATACTGCCTTTTAAAATAAGTCTAAGACTTTAAATATAAGCGCTGTGACATTATAAGGTACTTATCCCGCCTTCTTAGCATGCATTCGTAGTGTAGTGATCTGCACCCTGGGCGCGTATTCCAGAGGTAAGTGGTTCAATTTCCAGCGAAGGCGTTGCTCATTTTTCAATCGCTCTTGCTTCCAAAAAAAAAAAAAAAAAAAATCCTAATGTCTCTACAACATGAATAACTTCAGATATTCAGTTGGACTAAAATAAAGGCTTATTTAAATATCATGGGAAAAGATTCAATTCAACAAAAGGTTTTGCTTAACTGCTAGCAGCAGTAGTATTAGTTAATATCACGGACCTGGAGATTTACATATAATTCTAAGCATGAAATCATACTATTAGCACAGAAAATACTGAGTGTGCGATTATGTCCACAAAAGTAAGCATAGGTATCCTTTAGTTAAACCTAACTTATTTTTATTTAAGATTTCGAAAGTTTGAAAGCTTATAAAAATAAATAGCGATGCGTAAATTCTAAATAAAGGAGATCTATACATTTTCTTGAAAATGTATATCACACGGTATATAAAGTTAGCATGATCGAGATGTCAAGCTATTTCCCTGTTGTCACTGTACGTGTATATATATATATATATATATATATATATATATATACACTTTACGTTTGCTTTAGATGACGAAATTTATTCGTTTCATCATAGTATCATGCATTTCACTGAAACTGAAATTTAATTCTTACATGAAAGTTTGATTCATTATGCAAATTTGGGTGAAACGCTGAAGCATATATATGTAATAGTGTTCTGTGGTTTTGATCTTGTACTGTATTCACATTGCAAAAAAAAAAAAAAATACTTAATAAATATATTCTTGGACATGCATGAACAATAACATGTACGAATTAGTAAAAAGAAAAAATATACTTTTGAAACAAAATGACAGTTGATAGCTTGTTACGTAGAGACTCAATGCGATGAACGATATATTTCATAGTGAAGAATGGCGTAAGTCCAGGGAAAGACTTGTAAATTTTGATCGAAAATTTACAAGTCTTTCCCTGGACTGCGTCGGTGGAAAATTCAATTCACGCGAAAAGAATCAGATTTTGTTCCTTCGTGAAAATGGTATTTAATAATATTATTCCTTTTGATATAGCTATAAATAGTACAGTAAATAATGAATTGACAAGTGGAGGAGCATTTTAAAGAAAATTAGAATCCCAAAAGCTTAAACATCATTCTACTCTAAAGTCCTGTAATGTTCCAACCTAAACTTACAGCTAAATGTGTGGAACCTTGGGAACTGGTTAGCGAATAATCGCTTTAGTTCAGTAGACAGAGAGCAGAACTCAAGAATGGTTAATACCCTTTATTATTCAAAATAAATTTAACAGTCGACTCCTTCTTGGAGTTTATAGAAAAGCCTCCACTTAAGCTTCAACTCAGGAATATAAAGAAATAAAATTTAACTACTAAACTTAACTAAAAAGGTATAGCCGAAGCTGTCAAGATTCTACAAGAGTTGGCCCCTTAACGCTAACTAAACAGTGAAGCTATTAAGGGCCTAAAGTACGGCCGAGCGTAGAAATAGCTTTAGAGAGAGAGTAGCCTAAAAGGTGAACGCGCGCTGGTCAGAATTTCTGGCTCTCTAACGAAGTCATTAGAACTTTAAATACTTGCACTTCCTCCATTTGCATTTAACCGCGATTCTAGAAACACGTTCTGGCAGGACTGAAATTCAGAAAGGACAGGAATCGCTTTAATTAAAAATTAACTGTTAGAAAACTTAGGATAAACCTTACAGTCCTAAAGAGCAAAAAGTCTAAAGAGGTTATAAGGTATTTCTTCTACTTTCCTAGTGTGCCTTCGTGGTGTAGTGGCTCTGCGCATTGTACCGGTATTCCAGAGGTCCGTGGTTCGATTCCCGGCGAAGGCGTTTGCTCATTTTTCCTCTCTCCTGCCTTAAAAAAATCTAATGTCTCTACAGTGCCCGAACTAAAGGTTTGGGTTTTCCACCAAGATTGGCATGGGTCTCCGAACCCCGTCGCCTTTAAGGGACCGTGGACTTTGAAAAGCTAAAAATCGACCAAAATATTGAAATTTTTTTTTTTACTCTCGTTGTATTACATATACTTAACTGCATCGTATGTAAAAAACCGAATTCAAATATTCTAATTTTTAACGAAGTTACAAGCATTTAAAATGTGTAAACAACATAAACTTTGCCCTTTAAATTTTGGCGAAAATGTAAACAAATATGTTTCAACAGTTATTTGCTGATATTTATATACTTATATATTTAATTCTTTATAAACCTGGCAATATAACGTTTTAACTGTAACTGCTGCCATTTCACTGTTTACAGTTTAAAAGTGCTTTTCCTCGCTATTTTCTTTAGTTCTTTTGCTAAAAGTGTTTTGCTGTGTTTTATACAACTACATTTTGCAGGACTGTTTATAACTGAGTTTCTTGGACTGGAAGAACTTCAGATTAATTTATAACCTCTTGCGTAAAAGTATATATATATATATATTTATTTATTTATTGTAGTACATTATGCATGCCATAAGTCGTCGTTACCGTAAGCCTAAAGGGCGACCATCGAAGAAAAAACTTGCAGCTGTCAGCAAAATTGAAAAACGATGGGCAGCTCATTCGGAAAATGACGTGACATTGAACAGTGAAGAAGTTTCTTCCAAAAATAAACAAACAATTTTTTCTGAAAGTTCTATAGTTGAAGCGAGTACTTCAATAAGTGCCAGTGTAAAGAAACTGAATGAAAGTTTATTACGAACGTCTGACTGTGGTGATAACCGAAATGATGATTCATATATTTTGATAAATCGTAAAATGTGGAATCCATTGCTATGTAATATAAAGTGTGACGAGTGCTCAACCAACTTCTTTAGATATTGTTTCGAAAGGAATATATGGATATTCTACAAAACTTGAATTAGTTTGTAAAAACTGTGATAAAATATTTAGTTCAACATTTTCAAGTGAGCGGGTAAAACGGTCAAATACTTTTGATGTGAATACGAAACTTGTCGAAGCATTTTTGAAAATAGGCAAAGGCCACGCCGCCTTAGAAGTGTTTTCCATGATTATGGGAATTCATGCTATGGACAAAAAGACATTTGCTAAATGTTTACACAGTTTGTCTGAAGAAAAGGGGAAACTAAAAGGTGATTTCCTTCAGTTTTCTCGAAATATTGTTCGAAACAAGCATAAAAAATTAATTAATATAAATAATGATGAGTGTATAGATATCACAGTGTCGTATGATGGCACATGGCAAAAACGTGGGCATACATCACTGTATGGAATAGGTATCGTCGTAGATGTCTTGACTGGGTTAGTTATCGACTACGAAATTCTGTCAAAATATTGTCCTGAATGTGTATGCGCGAAAAGAGATATGGATGCTGACAGTGCGGAATTTCATATATGGTTTGAAAGCCACAAACCAGAGTGTTCCAAAAATTTTTCTGGTTCGTCTAATGCTATGGAAATGAAAGCCGCAGAAATTTTATGGAAACGGTCCATCAGTACATGTAATATGCGATATGTTGGGATACTTTCTGATGGGGATGCGAAAACATATCAACATTTATTAACTCTGAATCTTTATGGTAATGACGTAAAAATTAGTAAAGAAGAATGTATCAATCATGTGGCAAAACGTTTAGGGGCAGGATTGCGCAATAAAGTTAAAGAGCTGCGTTCCAGAGGTATATGTATCGGTGGACGAAAAGAAGGTAATCTGAAGGAAACTACAATTTTAAAGTTAACAAACTATTACAGAAAGGCCATAAAAGATAACATACCGGATATAGACAAAATGAAATCTGCAATTTATGCAAGCTTACTACACTGTTCATCTACTGATGTCTCACCAAAACATTCGAAATGTCCTACCGGTACGTTGTCATGGTGTTTTTATCAACGTGCAGTAGCAAATGAAGAGCAGCCGAAAGCACATAAAGCCATGAAAACTAAAGTATCTGAAAGTGTTCTTTCTCAAATATTGCCAATTTATCAAAGGCTAGCTAGCACAGAATTGCTGTCCAGATGCATTTCTGGTAAAACACAAAATGCTAATGAAAGTATCCATAGTTTAATTTGGAACAATTGCCCTAAAGAAGTGTTTATTTCTAAAAAAAGGCTAGAAATGTCAGTATTATCAACAATTAATGAATTTAACTTTGGTTGTGTAAATGCCATAAGCGTAGAACAGGAAGAAGTGAACTCGTTTTCCCTACTCATTGCAAAAAAGCGCGATCAGCGTCGCTTGAACCAAAGTAAAAAGAGAAGTTTACCTGCATGGAAAAAACACAGAAATAGTAAAAAATATTGTAAATCACTAAACGATAATGCAATAGTAGCAAATGAAGGTAAAACATATGGTGCGGGTGATTTTTAAAAATTTCATTGGGTATAAATTGTTTTTACCTGTATAACTTCGAATCACCTAGCAATTTGTCATATGTTTATTTTTGTCATATTTAATATTATGAGATTAAAAATAGTTAAATCTTACAAAAATGTTATCGAATGTTTACAAATTTATATTCAAAGTTAATTTGCTGTTTCTCATGACCATGTATTAAAGGTAAGTTTGAAGGAAAACTTTAAATTCATTTTTCTCAAAACAAATTTTTTCGCAATTTGTGTGTTTTGAAAATGCTCCATGCGTCTCATTTTTAGTTAAAAATGGATGATATTTGGAAGAAACTATATTGTTATATGTTACAGTAGATCTGTGTATGCATTTTTAGATATGAGGTTATTAAGAAGTTTAAACTTGTGAAAACCTTTAACAAAAGGTGAAATTTTTTCGAAAATTGGGTTTAAGTTCACAAAAATAGCCTTTAAAAATTTCTTATCCATCATATTCAATAACGGATACACAAATACTTTTACCAAGCCTTTATAAGTAACATAAAGCAAACATTAGGAAAAAATATTAAAAATTAGAGCGCATGGAGCATTTTAAATTTTTAATTAAAATAATTAATTAATTGCTTTAAAAATTTTTAATTTAAAATAAATTGAAATTCTGAGCATATATTTTGTTTACTGATGCTATAAGATGTACATGTATAAAATTTCTTGTTGAAAAAATGAAAACTTAAAAAAATAATTTTTAAAGTCCACCGTCCCCTTAAGAAGGGGAGTATATAAGGTATTTCTCCCACTTTCCTAGCGTGCCTTCGTGGTGTAGTGGTTCTGCACACTGGGCCGGTATTCCAGAGGCCTGTGGTTCGATTCCCGGCGAAGGCGTTTACTCATTTTTCATTTCTCTGGCTTAAAAATAGTCCTAATGTCTTTACAAGGTTCTACAGTTCTAAAGAGAGAAATATGAAAGTCTACATACTTTACCCCTCTTAGAACAATATCTATCGATAAGCGAGTCGCAGCTACAAATATTTAAGAAAAAAAAAAAAATTCTAAGAAAATGTATCATTATTTTAAATTACGAAATGTGTTTCTAGAATTCTGAAAAAATATTTGCTGCAGGTGTGGTTTTTAATTATTTTAATGCAGTTTGAAAATTTTAATTTCGGAAACCCTGAAGCACATTTAAAATGAAGATGGTACAACAGAAATTCTTATCCCTTACTACTTGACAAGCAAAGTAGATTCTTTGAAATTATTTTCTATTTCTAGGAACATTTTCATTTTCAAAGTCTCTTTGTCAACAAAGGAAGATTGAATAACTGGTTTAAAGATTTTTAATCAGAGTTGCACTGGCCGCCTACTTTTACTGAGCTAGGCTATCTGATCGAGCATGAAAAATTAGCGAAGTTAAAATAGGGAGCGAGGGGCAAATGCACCTTACGCTCAAAATCTGAACTTCAAATAATGGAAAGCAACCACTGAACGGATTTTTATATACCCTCTGGTAGTACCAAAACGCGAGGAGGTAACGCCCATCTATCGGCATAAATAACCTGAATTAAGATAGTAGAATTTTAAAGGCATTAGGAAGGACTGGATTGGACTTCAAATCATTTACTAAACCTGCTAAATCTTTGTGAATGTGAAAAGCCTCAAGAAAATCCAATTCACCTATCGAAGAAGCCTTTTGGATAATTTTTTTTTTTTATTTGAAGTTCAGATTTTTGAGCGTAAGGTGCATTTGCCCCTCGCTCCCTATTTTAACTTCGCTAATTTTTCATGCTCGATCAGATAGCCTGGCTCAGTAAAAGTAGGCGGCCAGTGCAACTCTGATTAAAAATCTAGTTATAACCCCGTGCAATGCTGATAAGGACCACGTGTTTCTGTGACTTCTTCTCCTTTATTTTCTTCTTTCTAGGTATTTCTTTCTCTTGATGAGGAGGGACCTTTAGCTGCCCTCGAAATCGATTGAGTGTTTCATTATACCTACGCTAAATACAAGGTTGTTTTTACGATTTTGATTCAAATTTAAGTATTAAACTGTAGATAAAATCATGCTTTAGAGCGAAAGCCTGCATGTCTAAAGATGAATGAGGGGGAATTAGAATGAATGTGTTTTGTAGGGTTCTTCATCTACACTTGAATTTTAAACATAGCTCATCGAGTTTCAGTATGTCGATTAAGGTGTGTCTATTTGGTCGTTGAATTCTAACAAATCATTGTGGTTAGGGGAAGTGCTGTAATACTAAAACACGAATATTCCCGTTTGACACCACACAATGGTGGAGAACCAGGGTAAAGTTAAATTCATGTTTGAATACTTGAATGAATGTGAATTAAGCAGTTAATTAAGGAAAATAAAACGATCAAAAACGAAAACTTTATCCAGTGTTAAGAAAGTGTAAATTATAATGTATTTAGAAGATACTGATACTTATTCCTTCCAGATGCTGGAAGGAAGAGAAAAGATTAATTGGTGAAGACCAGGAAAGGTTCCTGTAAGAAGAGATGGTAAAATTATGTATCTACAGAAATTTATTCTAATTTTTTGAGAAAACAGTTTGTTTTATGTAAACGAGGCTCTTCAGTTTTAGTTTCAGAATGTGGAAACGTTTTCAACAGTCGTTTCTAGGACCTGCTTCTTCAAGTTTACCAAATTCTGGCAGCGGCGGCAAATGTAGGGTTTATATTTATTTTTAACTAACATTTATTTTAAGTTTAAGCTATCTTTCCTGTCAAGCCCTTTACTTTCCCCTGGAATTGCCAATGCCAGAGTATGTAAATTTTAGTAGAACGCGCAGAGTATTCAAATTTTTAGCAGATGTATTTTGAGTTAAATAGAAGAGAAACGAGTTTGCAGGTGTGCTTTCTTAATTCACGAGCGTGAAGGTTGCTAGGTAGAAATTTAAGAACCGCGCGTTTCGGCCTGTGTGCTTACTTCGGCAGTTAGTTGAATCTTTCAACTTCTTATTCAGAAAGTTTGCTGAAATCTCAGCTGTATCTTAGAACGCGGTTAAGTTAGTCACGTTTATAGAGCCTCGTAGGTAGTGACCTGTTATTTATTCATCCTGTTATTCATTTTTAGTTACACTTTCTTATTTTTATTTAACCGCCGGGTCGGCGTAGTTGTGAGCGTCAAGTGAACGCATCTGTAACTTCTAAAGTGGAATAAAAAGGGAGTTAAACCCTTCTTAAGAGTTTGTGTAATTTCCAGTTCATAGCAGTCACTACTACTGTTGCGTGCAAGTTGGGGCCACGCAACATCACAAGGGGACCCAATCGCCAAATTCTGGGTGTGGAGAATCATCATCCACCACCCTTTTAGTTCGGGCGCTACTGTAGAGACATTAGGTTATTTTTTTAAAGCAGAAGAGATGAAAAATGAGGCAACCATGAAGGTGCGCTAAGAAGACTGGAGAAACACCTTATGCACTTGTAAGGCGCACAAGGCCTTGCACAGGTATTACCCGTCCCCTCGCCCCGCTTCTTGGTCACACTGAATTTCTGAATCTGATCTAGATTTAGTTCAGGTCAGGACAATAAGTAACAATAAGAGAGAATATTCTTATGGCTTATGTTTTACTAAATACGAGGCTTTCCTTAAAACTTTCTTAATAAAATCAGATTTTTATTGTAAAATCAATGCAAATAAGCCTGAACCTTCGACAAATTTTCCATAGTATAACGTTAACTAAAAAGGATTTATCTTCAAAACTCTTCCTCGAATTTAATGTTTAAGGAACATGTTTCCGAGGTTTTTGTAAAGTGGCTTAGATTGTCTTCAAATAAGTAAAAACATAATTTATCATAAAAATACTGTAAGAAATATATACACTCTTCCTATACATGTACTACATTCTCCTTCAGTCTTTCTTTCCTTTATAATGGAAGAAAAACCAAGCAGAAATAACGATTACCTCACGCAGAACCTTAAGAAAGAGGAAGATAGACTTTTAAGAACGAAAAAAAGTAAATAGGTCGGCATTACTTAATTTAAATGCCTAGCATGAAAGAACGAGACGACATTCTGAAGCTCAAATATGCTTAGTAGATACTAGATAAATACATACTACTAGAAAGAATTGCAGTGACGTTGTTTGTTTGTTACATCATATGAGATGAAAGCTGGCCATTTCAAGCTAATGCATCTCTAAAGAAAAACTAGTTATTTGTTGGAAAAATAAAATGTAGGCCAGTCAATCATGTAATGTATAAGAGAAAAGGTCAGGTTTTATGCTCAGAAACACGATGGCTATAAGACGGTTGTTTGCTTACTTAATCATAGCAAAACAGACGAGGACTATCTGCCCCTATTTAGTAATCACGTTACATGTCACGAGAACTCCGAAAACAGCAAGTCTGTAACATGGGCTTAAGTAACTTAAGTATCATTTATATTGCATTTTCCCACCCAAAATGAAAAGACCTGTACATCTAGCCTCAATCTTTAAACTCTTGTGCGCTTTGCCTTATTAAAATCTAAATATGTGCTGTGAAACACCCCCTTCTAAATGTCCGAGTTCAAATTATACTATTCATATTGACTTAAATTTCCTAGACATAACTGTGTACCGTGACATAGTGAGGTACTCTCTTAGATCACTCAACTTACAAAGAAGAGAATACGGATGTAATTTCTCTGCAAGTTCCTACTCGCTTTCAATCAAATTAAACTTTCACGTCAAATCAGTATCTAGTTTAAGAAAGGAAAGATACAAGGCTCTGCATTTTAATGTGTTCCAGAAATCCATGCTAAATTTTAGTGCAAATCAATGAGCTGTAAGGAAAGAAATGGAAGTTGCAGTATTTCTTATGGTGCAGCTACAGAACTATATGTTTTTTGATCTCTCAAAGTAGGAAAGATTTAAAGATAATGGTCTACTGAGGTTTATAAAGTGTGATGAAATAAAAAATAAATCGATAGAAAGTATGGTGAGTTTTCAGACGTAATTAGTCGTAATAAACGTTTCACCCGTAGCCAATTTATTTCGTA